TCCCCTCATTTACCTCATTTACCCCCCTTGCTTACCTCATTTACCCCCTTATTTACCTCATCTACCTCACCATTTATTTCATTTACCCCATTATTTACCCCCTCATTTACACACCTTGTTTACCTCATTTACCCCATCATTTACTGCTCTCATTTACCCCTTCTACCCCCTCATTTACCCCCCTCACTGACCTCCTGCCCCTCATCCACCTCCCATCTCTCCGCACAGGGGGAGCGTGGGGAGCCCGGAGCCCCTGGTCCCGCTGGATTTGCCGGACCCCCGGTGAGTATTTGGTCCTGGTGCCCCCAGTTCGGGTCCCGGTGCCCCAGTTTGGGTCCTGGTGCCCCTGGCTTCAGATCCCCCCTCTGAAAGCAGCCCCTTCCCACAGGGTGCCGACGGGCAACCGGGTGCCAAAGGCGAGCAGGGAGAGCCCGGGCAGAAGGGTGATGCCGGTGCCCCTGGTCCCCAAGGCCCCTCTGGGGCCCCTGGCCCACAGGTGGGTACAGTCAGAGCCCCCCGAAACGGGGGTGAACACCCCGGGGGTCCCTTTCCCCTGGAAATTTGGGGAACCCCAAATTGCACCCCCCACCCTCTCCCGTGTCTCTCACTGGTTTTCCTCCTCTTCCCAGGGTCCAACTGGTGTAACTGGTCCCAAAGGAGCCCGGGGTGCTCAAGGACCCCCTGTGAGTATTGGGGGAAGGGAGAGGGGTGCAGGGAGGGGGCTGGGAGGGGGGCTGAGCCACCTTCCTCCTCCTTCCCCAGGGAGCCACTGGATTCCCCGGAGCTGCCGGACGCGTCGGACCCCCCGGCCCTAACGTGAGTTGGGAGCAGCCAGGATCCAACTGAGGGGCAACTGGGATCACTGGGGGGCAACTGGGTTCACTAAGGGGCAACTGGGATTGATCAGGGGCAACTGGGTTCACTCTTGAGGAAACAGGGATCACTTGGCAACAGGGATCACTGGGGGGGCAACAGGGATCACTTGGAAGCAGCTGGGATCACTTGGGGGCAATCAGGATCACTTGGGAGAAGCCAGGATCATTTTGGGGCAACTGGGATCATTCAGGGGCAACTGGGATCACTGAGGGGGCAACTGGGATTGCTCAGGGGCTACTGGGTTCACTTGGGAGGAAACAGGGATCACTTGGCAACAGAGATCACTTGGGGCAAGTGGAATCAGTGGGGGGAAACAGGGATCACTTAGGGCAAGTGGAATCACTGGGGGGAAACAGGGATCACTTGGGAGCAGCCAGGTTCACTTAGGGGCAACCAGGATCATTTTGGGGCAACTGGGATCACTCAGGGGTAACTGGGATCCCTGGGGCTTTCCCAGGGCTCTCCAAGCCCGGGAGCCCCACAGGACGAGGATAACAAAGGTGGAAAAGCCCCTTCTGTTGGCACTGAACCCCATCTTGTCCCCCTCAGGGTAACCCAGGCCCCCCCGGGCCCCCCGGCTCCGCTGGCAAGGACGGTCCCAAGGGTGCTCGAGGCGACGCCGGACCCCCGGGCCGTGCCGGGGACCCCGGGCTGCAGGGCCCCGCCGGCCCCCCCGGGGAGAAGGGAGAGCCCGGCGAGGACGGTCCCGCGGTACATTTAGGGGGGGGCACCTCCCTTTCTGCCCGTAAGGGCCCTGCCACCACCCCCCTCCCGGGCTCTGACCCCCCACCTCTGCCTCCCCCCAGGGTCCTGACGGGCCCCCGGGTCCCCAAGGTTTGGCGGGACAGCGCGGCATCGTCGGCCTCCCCGGGCAGCGCGGGGAGAGGGGCTTCCCCGGCCTGCCGGGGCCATCGGTGAGTGCTCACCCCCGGGATCAGCCCCTGTGTCACCCCCGGTTGTCACCCTCACTGTCGCCCCCTGTGTCATCCCCTGTGTCACCCCGTGTCACTGCCTAATTTCATTCCCTTCCATCCCCTGTGTCACTCCCTGTGTCACCCCCCGGGCTCAGCCCCTTCCATCCCCTGTGTCACCCCCAATGTCATCCCCTGTGTCACCTCCTGGGCTCAACCCTTTCCATCCCTTGTATCACCCCCTGTGTCACCCCCTGGGCTCAACCCCTTCCATCCCCTATGTCACCCCCTGTGCCACGCCCTAATTTCAGCCCCTTCCACCCCCTGTGTCACCCCCTGTGTCATCCCCTTCCACCCCCAGTGTCACCCCCTGTGTCACCCCCTGTGTCACCCCATGTCATCCCCTGTGTCACCCCTAAATTCAACCCTTTCCACCCCCAGTGTCACCCCCTGTGTCACCCCCAGGCTCAACCCCTTCCACCCCCAGTGTCACCCCCAGTGTCACCCCCAGTGTCACCCTCTGTGTCACCCCCTAATATCAGCCCCTTCCACCCTCTGTGTCACTCCTCAGGCTCAGCCTCTCCATCCCCCGTGTCACCCCCTGTGTCACCCCCTTCCTCCCCCCGTATCACCCCCAGGTTCAGTCCCCTGCACCCCCTGTGCCCGATGGCAGCAGCCGCCTCCCCCCGGTAGCTGCTGGAGCTGCTCCTTTGGGGGCATTTCCCGGGGGAAGGGCTGCGCCGGGATCTCCCTCTCAGGGATCTTGTCCTCCCTTCCCCTTTCCTCCAGGGCGAACCCGGCAAACAAGGAGCACCCGGCTCTGCTGGCGACCGAGGCCCCCCCCGGCCCCGTGGGTCCCCCCGGCCTGACGGGTCCCGCTGGAGAACCCGGCCGAGAGGTGGGTGGGGAGGGGGCACAGGGGGCAGCCCCCTAGCCCGGGTGACCCCCGTGCTGCCCCCCTCCCCTGCCCTGTGCCCCTGCTCCCGGCCATCATCGGGCTCTGCCGTGGGTTTTTGGCTCGGAGAGGGGAGTTTTCACCCAGCCGAGCCTTGATTCCTCCTCTTCTCCCAGGGAAATCCCGGCTCCGACGGTCCCCCGGGAAGAGACGGCGCGGCCGGAGTGAAGGTGAGTTGGCCGTGAATTCCCTCCCACGCCCCCCGTGCCCCCAGTCCCGCGGCTCTGACGCCGCTCCCGTGTCCCTGCACAGGGTGACCGAGGCGAGACGGGGCCCGTGGGTGCCCCCGGTGCTCCCGGTGCTCCCGGCGCTCCCGGGCCCGTGGGTCCCACCGGCAAACAAGGAGACAGAGGCGAGACGGTGAGTGCTGGAATGGTGGGTCTGAGGGTTTTTTTGGGAGAGACAGGAACCACCCCGAGGGCAGGTCAGGGAAGAGTTAGGGAGTCATTGGGGTGGGGGAGCCAGGTGGGTGCCTTTAGTGCCCGGCAGGGATTCAGTGGTGCCCCGAGCAGCTCCGAGAACCTTCCTCAGGATTCCTGAGCACCCTGCTGGGGCTCTGCCTGGGGGGCTGTGAGCCCCAGGAGCTGGAGTAGGGAATATCTCCACTTCCAAGGATCATTTGGGTGCGATGCTCCAGCTGAGGGTGTTTAAAGATGCCAATTCCCAGCGGTGGGGCCAGTTTGGACACCCCCAAAGGCAGAGAGCACCCCCTGCCCCCAGCTTCCCGTGCTCCCAGCTGCTTCTGACCACCCTCTTTTCTCTCCCCAGGGTGCACAAGGTCCCATGGGTCCCTCTGGCCCTGCTGGCGCTCGGGGGATGCCGGTGAGTGACACCAGGACAGCCGTGGGTCGTGTCAGGTGGGGGTCTGCCACTCCTGGCCTGACACGGCCCCCCCCTCCCATTCCAGGGTCCCCAAGGGCCTCGTGGTGACAAGGGCGAGACAGGAGAGGCTGGAGAGAGAGGGCTGAAGGGTCACCGTGGCTTCACCGGGCTGCAGGGTCTCCCTGGCCCCCCCGTAAGTGCTGGTGTGGGGACCCCGGCCCCCCACAGCTCCCTGGAGCTGGATGTGGCCACGGGCAGAGCCCCAAGGCCAGGTGAAGGCTTTGCTGGAGCTGAGCATCCCCTGATGCCAGGTTTAACCATCACCCCCCCTCCCTTCTCAGGGTCCTTCTGGAGACCAAGGTGCTGCTGGTCCTGCAGGTCCCTCCGGTCCCAGGGTAAGTCCTGGGGGGGAATGAGAGGAAAAGGAGTTTGGGGGGTTGAGAGGAAAAGGAATTTGGGGGGGTGAGAGGAAAAGGAGGCACCTCTGTCCTCGAGCCTCTGCCTGGGTCAGCTGATGGCAGGAGCTGAGGGCTGCCCAGCACCTTCCCTGACCTCCCTTTTGGGGCTCTTTTAGGGTCCCCCCGGCCCCGTGGGCCCCTCTGGCAAGGACGGCTCCAATGGCATGCCCGGCCCCATCGGCCCCCCCGGGCCCCGCGGGCGGAGCGGAGAACCCGGCCCTGCGGTGAGTGACACCCCCCGGGATGGGCAGGGCGAGGGGAGGGGGGTCCAGCTGCCAGGGCAGCCCCCCAGCACGGGATTGCATCTCCTTCCTCTCACAGGGTCCTCCTGGAAACCCGGGTCCCCCCGGCCCCCCCGGTCCCCCCGGCACCGGCATCGACATGTCGGCGTTCGCGGGGCTGGGCCAGCCCGAGAAGGGCCCCGACCCCATCCGGTACATGAGGGCGGACGAGGCCGCCGGGAGCCTGAGGCAGCACGACGTGGAGGTGGACGCCACGCTCAAGTCCCTCAACAACCAGATCGAGAGCATCCGCAGCCCCGAGGGCTCCAAGAAGAACCCGGCCAGGACCTGCCGCGACATCAAGCTCTGCCACCCCGAGTGGAAGAGCGGTGAGGGCTCCGCTCTGCGGGGACCAGGGACCCCCAGGAACGGCCTGGAGCTCTGTCAGGGGTGGGGTGGGGTGGGGTGGGTGTCAGGGAAAGGTTCTTCCCCCAGGGGGTGGTTGGCACTGAACAGGCTGCCCAGAGCAGTGGGCACAGCACCAAGGAGGGTTTGGACTCTTGGGGACGGGCCTGTGCAGCGCTGAGGGTTGGACAGGATGGTCCTTGTGGGTCCCTTCCAACTCAGATTCTGGAATTCTGGGATGGCCTGGAGCTGTGCCAGGACGGGCTCAGGTTGGATTTTGGGAAAAGGTTCTTCCCCCAGAGAGTAGTTGGGCACTGACCAGGCTCCCCAGGGCAGTGGGCACAGCCCCAAGGCTGCCAGAGCTCCAGGACGGATCCAGTTTGGATGCTCCTCTGGGGCACAGGGTGGGATTTTGGGGTGTCCTGTGCAGGGCTGAGGGTTGGACTGGATGATCCCTTCCAGCTCAGCATACCCTGTGAAATGAAAAAGAGCCTCCTCCTTCCCCGTCCCTCTCCCTCAGCCTCTCACACCCAGCAAGGCCAAGTCAGGTGCTCCAACCCCCAAACCCTCACCCTCACACCACCCTTTGCCCTCCCTGCAGGAGACTATTGGATCGACCCCAACCAGGGCTGCACCTTGGACGCCATCAAAGTCTTCTGCAACATGGAGACGGGCGAGACCTGCGTGTACCCCAACCCCAGCAGCATCCCCAGGAAGAACTGGTGGACCAGCAAGGCCAAAGAGAAGAAGCACGTCTGGTTTGCAGAGACCATCAACGGCGGCTTCCATGTGAGTGTCTCCCCCGGGGCTGGGGGTGGAGGTCGAGCAGGGGGGTGGAGGTCGAGCAGAGATGTGGAGGTTGAGCAGGGGGGTGGAGGTTGAGCAGGGG